GTTGCTGAACTTTATGAGTCGAGTTTTTGGCAAAAAAGTCACGAGAACCAGTGCAGTATGAGATGGCACATTATCGTGATAAAGGAACCAAGATTGTTTACTTGTAATTCCGGCCATTTCAAACGAATCGCTTCACACAAATAATGCATAACATTCAAATAATACACTTTGTTGGCAGTACGGGAAGGAATTCATAGTGCATTATACCACGATAATCAAATAAAACTGTCAACATGACCTTGATTTACGATTGACTTTGCCGTGGTCTTTTCGATCTTGCTTCACCTTTTGCACGATATTCGCTAGATTGGTCGATGGTTTCAGGGTCGTATGCGTAAATCAAAGTTTCGTCTCCAGTAATGATGCATTTTCAGTGGCCCTGATAGTCAGACAATAAAGTTTCACACACATCAATGCGACGCTGTTTTTTCCAAAAAATTGAGCAATTTTGCCACCAATCGAGACTTGAGGTGTTTGAGACACAAAATATCCTTAAAAATGGTTTTAAAAAAACGCGTATAACTTGGAGATTATTAAAACTTTTGACAAACAGACGCTTGGCACATGTCAACAAGGAAGTCCTACCTACCTTCATAATGTCTAAGAGTTTTAAATGACAATTTCATCTAACTTTTTGATCACAGTAGTATACAATACGTCTGACCATAATCCTAGAGCAGTTGGTTAGTAGGTACATCCAAGTGAGATAGAGTTGTTTAGCTATAATGACAATTGGCGATAGATAAGTCGTTGAATAAAACAAGCTAAGTTATTAATAATATAAATAAGATGCAAGTAATAGCATCGAAAACTATGTCTATAACAGCCACTCAAATAAAACTGCCCTTTGTCAGTTCGACGTCAGTAGGTCCGGAATACAGATAAGTGGAATTGTCATAACGGCATTTCCTTCTATACTAATTAATATGTATTACAAATTAAGCAAATAGAAATAAAACGTGTATAATATAAATGATAAGAACATAGTAATAAATGTTCTTACAGAGATCATGTTGCTTTTGGAATAATTCATCAATTTTAGCTTCGATGCGAAGCTGAGAAGGTATTAATTTTACTATG